CGGTCGCTTCCGCAAGTTTTGGTACTTCAATGACAAGGTGGGTGAAGAGCTCCCCGCCACACAACACACACACACATGTCGACAGACACACACCGAGACCAACCAAAGCTCACCGTCTCTGTCGTGTGTGTGTGTGTGTGGTTCATTCGTGTGTCCATCCATCAGCGTGATGCGGGTGCGTTCCGTTGGGTGGCGCTGCAAGGCGAGCATCTCGAGGAGCTCATCCGCGGCCCCAACCGGGGCGGACCCGTCGACTCACTCGACGACCTGGGCTACGAGTTCATGACCTCTGAAACTGCCGCCAAATGGGGTACGCTGTCCTGTCCACACAGCCACGGAACACCACACCACCTGTTGTCTGTCTCTGCCTGCTGGTCCATCTGTCTCTCAGCTGCGACCGAGGCCGCGGAGGACGAGCTGCCCAGCCCCAGCCCTTCCCCGTCCCCGCTGCCCAAGATGCCCATCCACAAGGTCGGCTCCAGGCACGCTGCACGCTCAGAGGGCGCAGAGGGCGCAGACGGCCAGCAGCAGGGCGAGGCCGCCGAGCCGGCCGTCCCCGTCGCCGTCAGCGTACCCGCCCCGCCCTTCTACCACCATCCCGCGTGGCCTGGCGCCAAGGCCGATGACTCCCTGGCGGCGTTCGAGGGCGATCTGGGTGTGGGTGGGGCTGGTGGCGGCAAGGGCGGCAAGAAGAAGGGCGCCGGGAGGGGCAAGGGGCTCAAGGCAGGCTTCAGGCCGGCGCCGCTCAAGATACAGAAAAAGAAGGGCATCCACGCGGCAACCGACCAGCGCCCCCCACCCATGCCGCCGCACTTCTTTCAAGTCGCTCCGCCGGGCGCCATGGGGCCGGGCCCGTTTGTGGCTCAGGGGTTCGCCGTGGGCAATGCGGTGCCTGAGGGCGGGATGGGCGCGATGCCGCCCCCGCCCCCACACATGCAGCACATAATGCCGATACATGGGTTTCTGCCGCTGCTGCCCGAGCACCCCTTCGCGCACGACGTGCGGCGTGGGGGTCCCCCGCCCCCTCCCCACCTCTGGCAGCAGCTGAAGCCTCAGATCTCGTCTGGCGCGCCCGTGACCCCGTCGGGGCGCACGAACGTGAGTCAGATGGGGAGCGAGTCCAACAGCAGCCCCCAGAAGAGGAAGGCCACTCTGCACAACGTGAACCCCACCTTCTCACACGACGCCCATGTCGAACCCCTGGCCACACAGCGGGACAAGGTAAGGAAGCGAAGCAACACAGCGAGCAGGATGACGCCACTGGTCGGTCATCGTGTCTGTGTCTCTCCCTCCCTCCCTGTGTGTGTCTCTCTGCGCAGGAGTACTCGCCTCCGCCGCGCGTGATTGTCGCACCGGCCCCCCCGCCCCCCTCCGCGCCACTGCCTGCGCCTGCGGGCTCGCCCGGCATGTCGCCCACCAAGACGACGCTCTCACACCTGTTGTACCCGCCCAACTCGCCGCAGCCCCGCCCGAGGCCCACTCCGCCCCCGTCGCCGGCCCAGTCGTCTATGCCGCCACCGGCCCTGCCCTTCGGACACCCACATGGCCCTTTCGTTCCACCAGGGCCGATGCCGATGGGAATGCCTGGTGTGGGTGGTATGCGTGGTGTGGGTGTTGACATGACCAACAACCCGCTGATCAGCCTTGCCAAGGGCGAAGGGCCACCAGTGCACCAGCCACCGCCATTTGCACACGCACAGCAGGGGGCTACGGACTGCCGGCCATGCTCTTCCCTTCACCGACCCCGCCAGCACCACAGGCAGCGCCTGCACCCGCATTCGCACCACCCGCACCACCAGCAGCCTATGCAGCGGGCATGCCTGGGTTCGCACCGGCCCCCACCAATACCCCCAAGTGACACGTCGTCCCGTGCAGCCCCGTCCATGCCCTCTCCGGCCGCCGACAAGGGCAGCGTGTGCGACGAGGAGCACCCCACCCACCACCCACCGCCACCACACGAGAGGAGGCCCCCACGCACCCATATGTAGACAGACGGGAGAGGATGGCCGTTTCTTTCTTTTTGTCTATGAGTGTATTGTATTGCTTTTGAGTCAGCAGCCCTACCCGTTGCCTTTTCTTCGCCTTTGTCGTATTCTTTTTGTCTCTCCGTATGGTGCAGACACTGCTTTGTCGTGTTCTTTTCGTCTCTCCGTATGGTGCAGACACTGCTTTGTCGTATTCTTTTTGTCTCTCCGTATGGTGCAGACACTGCTTTGTCGTATCCTTTTTGTCTCTCCGTATGGTGCAGACACTGCTTTGTCGTATTCTTTTTGTCTCTCCGTATGGTGCAGACACTCCCTTTTCGTTCGTGTGCGTGGGTGTGGTGTGTCGCTGTCTACTCCCCGTCTGTCTACTTCTTATGTGCGTCGGCGGTGTTCTCGTTGACCGAAACAATCGGTTGGTGGTGGTGGTGGTGGTGGAGCTTGTCGGGGGCGGGAGGTCGGTTGGTGGAGGGTGGGTGGATGGATGGATGGATGGTGTCGGCCCGGGGCTGGCAATGGGTGTGGGTGGCGTGACGTTTGTCAGAGTGTCGAATGCCGTCTGGTGGGTACTTTCTGGTTGCGTGACTGGCTTATTTGTGAATGACTGGCTGCCAGAATGGATGGATGAGGCCCATGCCTGCCCGGTGACTGACTGTGATGCAGCCAGCGTGTCGGGGGGTGTGTGTCTGGATGGATGGATAGATGGATGGATGGATGACAGACGAATTCACTCTCATGTGGTGACAATCGTGACCCATGCATGGCTCGTGGATGCGTGAGATGCGTGTAGAGGTGTGAGCGTACCGCCATACCCGTGTGCATCCATGTCGACTTACCACTACTGACTGACTGCGTATCTGTTGTATTTTTGGTCCACGGTTCATTCGACTGACTCCACTACCCATACTTTGTTGTGTGCTTTGGACTGAAACACTTTCTCTCCTGTTTCTTTGCACCAGCCAGATGTTTTCACGTGTGGAGACATACACACACACGCGCACACACACTCGCCTGCACACGTGTGGCTGTACTGGTAGGTAGCTGTGGTTGACCCATTTGCACGACTGCTGTAGTGACTGGGCGGCTGAGTGGTGCCGCATACGCACCGCGCCAGCCGGCCAGCCAACTAACTAACCAACTGGGTGGCATTGCCCTGTGTGTAGCATCCATCCACCCACCATGCGATGTATGCGTGGCCTGCACTGCCTGTAATAGTAACTAACGACTGGTGCTTCTCAGTTTGAGGGTCGGGGAGCGGTCCAGGCTTTCAGGGATGATAGCGACGGGTGTGGCTGTGTCATTGAATGGGATGCATGATGCATGGGCATGGCGTGATGGAACTGGTAGGCAGGCAGGCAGGCAGGCAGGCAGCCATACAGACAGACAGACACAGACAGAGCACTCCCTCACTCATGAATTGATTGATACCAACACTTGACGAAATCGACTGTATTCACTCGACTGCATTCATCCATCTGTCTAGCCATCCAGCTGGCACACACAGCGCCAATCCTCACAAATACCCTTACACATCAGTTCAATCCCCCCTCAGCTAAGCTCGCAAACGTCGACGGCAGATCAAAAGAACCGCCAGGTCTCCCATTTCCACCCCCTTTTGACCATCCTCTGCCTCACCATCGTCCCGGATCACCACCATCCATGGCGCGCACCCTCCAGTCGAGCGAAGAGCAGCAGCGGCTCTTGTCCCTCGCGCAGGCCGAGACCGCCGGGGCGTCGATTGGTCAGGAGGACAGCGTCCTGTCGGCCGACATTGGCTGGCACAAGTATGAGCAAAGCCATCTGCTCAAACCGGGGAGCGCCTCGGTGCTGCAGATGCTCCACAATATGCCCAGCGAAGAGCGGGCCAACCACATACTCACGGTGGGGCGGGTGGCTGGGCGATTAGAGATACAGAGAGAGAGGGGAAGGAGAAAGGCTCTTCTGGTTTCTCCCTCTGATGGTTCTTGGTTGTGTGTGGTGCAGCACAGCGAGGTGCCTCCGGTGGTGTTTAGTGTGTTGAATCTGATGGACCTGCAGGCCATCCAGTACATCATCACACTCATCATGGAAGTCGTCAGAGGTCAGACACACACACCAAACGGCACACCGAGCCATGCACACACATGCGCTCACACAAAGGGTTTTATGGTTCTGTGTGTGTGTGTCTGCGGTTCAGATGATGGGAGTCGCTACGACGTGCTGATGGGCTGCCTCCCCGACGCGGACATATTCACCCCATTCCACAAGTAGGCACATGCACAGACACAAAAGGGGATAAGTGAAGTGCCTTCCCTCTCTCTCTCTCTCTCTCTCCATCCATCCATCCATCCATCCAATAATCTATGTGTGTGTGTGTGTGCGTCAGGACGTTGAGTCGTCAGGATGTGGACACGGCCACGTCAGACAAGGCCGCCTACCTGCTCTCGGGGTTCATGTGGTCAGCCACCCACCCAAACACACACCACATACACACACACACACACACATAGATAGATAGATACAGCTGTTCTGCCTGCCTGCCTGCCTGCCTGCGTGTGTGTGTGTGTGTGTGTGGATGTCAGCCGTGGCGGCAGCAAGAAGTTCAGCGAGTCGCAGGTCACCACATTCGTCACCTCAATCGTCAACGGTCCGCAGGCAGCAAAGGCAGCCCACACACACATAGACCAACACACATGCGGTCAGTGTATGTGTGTGTGCCAGCGTCCTACACCATGACGGAGCTGGGCAAGCTCGAGAGCTTCTGCAACCTCCTCAAAAACAGTGAGGACACGACACACGGCACCATCCATCCATCCATCCGTTGTGTTGTTTGATGTCAGATGCGTATCGGAACACCGTTTTCGAGGCCCGGGGCGTCACTGACATGTGAGCAGCTTCGTTCGCTACATGGGGGCAATGACGCTGTGCAAAGGGTTGCGTGTGCCGGGGGTGTGTGGCATTGCATGGCCATAGGATTCTGAAGAACGTCGACCCCGAGCGACCGGCGCCCAACCTCTACAAGGCGTGTTTCTGCGTGTGGCTCAGCAGCTTCAGACCTGACCTTCTCAAACAACTCATCGGTCAGGCTCTCACCCACACACACACACAGACACACCGACACACACACCAGGTTGCGATCGATGCCATGTTGCCCCCACCCGCCTTTGTGCTGCACAGACCGGGGTGTGGTGCTGGCGCTGCGCAAGGTGCTGGGCGACAGTCGAGTGGAGAAGGTCGTCCGCGTCTGCATACACACACTGCCGGTCAGCCAAACACCCAGCCATTGGTCACTTTGTCCATCTGTGTGAGCGTGTGTTGGTCCGTCAGGCGTTGTTGGAGGAGGACAAGGCGGTTGAGGATCTGCTGGAGCGCAACACTTTGCAGGTGCTGCAGCTGCTCGAGTACGAGAAGTGGCGCGACGCCGAGCTGTACGAGGAGATCAGACAGACACTCTACACCCTACAGTCAAAAGTCAAACAATACAGGTCGGTGCCACACTCCCAGCCACACAGAGGGGAGAGAAGAGCGGGCATGTGTGTGGTTGGTTTTTGTGTCGTTGTGCCTGCCTGCCTGCCTGCCTGCAGCAATTTTGAGCGTTACGAGAAGGAGCTCGCCAACGGCAAACTCAGATGGTCACACCTGCACCAAGGTGAGATGGCTCTGGACCCACACACACCGCCCACACACCCATCCATCCATCCATCCATGCACCCATTGTTGTTGCAGAGAAGTTCTTCCACGAGAACATCGAGAAGTTCGGCGAAGACGACTTCAGAGTCAGCCACGAAACCAGAGGGAGGGAGGGAGACCTTCACACACAGCAGAACACACCACCCCCTCCTCTCTCTGTCCCATCTGGTGGCCGATGATGCAGGTCGTGAAGGTGTTGATGAAGCTGCTGGTGGCCGACGATTTGGAGACCGTCGCCGTGGCCTGCCACGACCTGGGAGAATTCGCCAGACTCTACCCCACCGGCAAAAAGTGAGCGGGCCAGCACACACAGAGCTCTTTGGTGCTGGTGGATCTCATGGATCGATGTGCGTGTGTGCGTGTGTCAGGGTGCTGGACCGGCTGAAGGCCAAGCAGTTTCTCCTAATGCTGCTGTCACACAAGAACAAGTCAGCATACCAGCCACCACCACCACCACCACGGCTGCACATGCCCCTCTCCCTCTCCCTGTCCCTCTCTGTCTGATGTCTGTGTGCGTCAGGGACGTTGCTCGCGAGGCGTTGCTGTGTGTGCAGAAGTTGATGCTCAAGCGATGGGCCGACGTGTCGGGCGGACAGGTGCAGCCGGCCAAGTGACCTCGGGCGACCGACCTGACACACAGAGGGGAGTGTTCTGTGTCTACTGCTAGATAGATACACAGATCGAGGCGATGAGAGAGCGATAGATAGCGGGGGATTTTTTCGGTCCCGTGCTTCACTTGGCTGACCTGAGTGAGCAAATTGATCTATGGCTGCAGTGTGTCGCCGGGCTCGGGGCACATTTCAGAGCGGACGTGCAGGTCATTCTGCGCAAGGATCGCTGCGCAGAATAATCTGTACGCTCCCATTGAGATGTGCTGAGGGCAGGGGCAGCTCTTAGGTGTGTAGATGGACATTGGGTGATGCGCGTCTTTGTAGGACTGTATCGGTGGACGGATGGACGGATGGATGAATGGATGGATGGATGCTGCCTTTTAAGTCTTACTGCCTACATGCACGCAGCAGCAGGCAGGCGCATCTTACCGTGGACCCCCTCTGTATCCCTTTTCTCTCTCACACATTGCCGGCATGCGTGTGTGTGTGTGTGCGTATTGCTTTGTGCGTTTTTTTGCCCGTTGTACGTCGCGTCGCATGTCAACTGTTGCCTCTCAGACATGAGTATGCGTTGATGCCAAGGCATGCACCGCACCCGCTATCCAATGAGTCAGTCTTTCGCTCATGTGAATGGATCCCACACGCATGGAAGCGCAAGTCAGGCTAGGCTCGGTACACAGCACGATAGACAGCATTGACAGAGCCAGAAAAGAGGCAGCCAGGTAGACGGAGGGGTCGATTAGCTACGAGGGAGCTGGGGTGCCGCATCTCCGTCCCCGTCCTGGTGTGTTGCATCCCCTCTGCTGCCGCCCCAACGGCTGCACCCAGCTACCTCCAATGCCACCCCACCGCTGCACACGCACGCCACGCCCCTCAACACTAACTTCTCCCCGTGCAGTGGCCGTTGCCGCCCCACTGCATGTCAGCTACCTCCGATGTCTTCGTGTGTGCCGCCGTCCACCTGAGTCACGTCGACGCCAACCCGACAGCTGCAGTCATGAAACAAGAGACAGTCTCACTCTTGTGTTGACTCATCTGGTGTTCTCGTGCGCGTGTACCAGTGTTGATGGCCTCGTTGACCTGTGGGAGTACTGTGATGGCGTCGCGCATCTTGTTGCGGGCGATGTCGACTGCCCGCGGGAAGACAGCAGGGCCACTGCCGATCTTCTGGGGCGCCTCGGTGGTGTAGAGGGCGATGGATGCCGACCCGTGAGGCCGCTTGTGCACCTCGATGTGGGCCATGAAGTCGTCGCCATCCTCCTCGCCACACAGTATGACGAGTCGGCGTGTGCCGCCGGTGGTGTAGTCGCTGGTGTAGTCGATGGTGCGGCAGCCGTCCCACACGGGCGGCGGCTGGTCGATCAGGGCACCGATGCGGTCAGACTCAGGAGAGGGCGGATCCCACCAGTGATCCGACACAAAATGCGACGACAGCGATGCCAACCTGAAAGAGCAGGGAGGGAAAAGGCAGACACAACACGACACATTGGTGTGTTGTGTTCTCTCATTTCAGTCGCTGCACACCTCTTGATGGCCACCTCACGGAAGCTGCCATGCTCTTCACCCAAATAGTCTGCAGACACACACACACACACAGCGGCAGACGCCATCCATGCCAGGTCGCCTCCCCTGTGGTGCTTTCCCCTCTCTCTCTCTCACGTTCACACGGGGGATCGGCCGCATTGAATCGATCTCGATACCTGCGGGGCACCGTCTGCTCGGTGTGCACCGTCACCTGCACATACCCGCCCAGCATCTCCCGCCCGTTGGTAGTGCGCGTCAGCCGCATCCTCTCGCCCAGCCGGTTGCCGTAGAGGCCGTATTGTCTCATGCTGGGCGGCCGGCTGTCGACGATGGCCTTGCTGCCCACGTGCTGCAGGTCGTCCTCCGTCAGCTCGACGGGCAGCTACTGCACTCGTCCGCAGCTGTTGGCCATCCGCAGCACCAGCACGTTGCCCCGCCAGTCGCCCCCCTTCACTATCACGTAGTGGAGGCGGATCAGCCGCATCCGGCGCACCAGACGACTGCCATGGCTCGACTGACGCAGCGGGGCGTAGCCGATGGCGCCTGTGAGTCCGTCGCGCTGGATGATGCTGTCAATGTCGGCGACCAGGTCGGCCTCGACTGCGCTGCTGACCGCCTCGGATGTGCGGCAGAGGGCGATTGTGTTGTGTGGGGTGAGGGTGGCGGGATCGTCACGGTGGCCGCTGATGAAGGGCAGCAGGGTGCCGCGGAGGACGTCGGTGGGCAGGGACAGGCCGGGCAAGAAGCGCGGGGCCGCAGCACTTGACGACTCGGGCAGGATGTGCTGTCTGCAACAGTTTCCTGCACACATCACGCCATAGTTTTGGCCGTCATGATGGCTTCACCGTGCAGCGGTCGTACCTTCTTGAGTGTGTCAGTGGTCTCTGTGGTGGTCTTCTTAGCGGCTGGGGGGACAAATGCGAAGCTCTTGAAGTGGCCCCCCAGCTGATACACACACACACACACACACACACAGGCAGGAGAAGACACATACACTCATCCACCAGTTGAAGGACCGACAGTAGATGTGTCTGTGCGTACCAGTGCCGCGCCGTTGAGTCGTTTGAGTTCCCTCTCCAGGTCGCCCAGCGCACCAAAGATCTCTGACGCGGCCCCTTCCACCATGGGCAGGTGCCTCTCACCAACAGACCCCTGCACACAGCCACAGACCACAGAATATCACACGAAGGGAGGTCAGCTATGCGCTGACTGACGACCTTCGCAGTGAGGTAATCGATAGTGTCAGAGATGCCCATCTTCTTGACAAACTGCACACACCACACACACACACACATAAGTCAGCCGCCCTCTCCCTCCCTCTGTGCTGTCCTCTCACCTTTGAGTCCAACACGGCTAACTGTGTTTTGACTTTCGACAGCTGCGCCAACACATCAGAGGACAGCTGCAAAGGCAGGCAGGCACACACACAGATCACTATGAACACACCGACACCCCGTGCGGTGCTCTCCGCGCTGTGTGGCTGTGATGGCTTGATGGCTCACCGGCAGCCCGTCACTCTGTATGGTGCTATGATTGATGAAGCCAATCACACCGCTACGTCCACCACCGCCTGGCCAACACACAAACCACCCCACATGAGAATTCCTTCCCGCCCTCGCCCAGTCAGTTCTGTCAGCCCACCTGCGGCAGCTGATGCCGACGCCGATGGGCCGTTCATCGCGCCCGCTGCCGGCTATGCTCACGGGAACCTCAAGCAATGCCTGAAGGCCATCCCACGATGAAGCCGTGGGAGTCTGGTGTTTCCGATGGATGAATGTCATGGTTCGTGCTGTGCTTACGGTGAAAAGGCAGCCGCTGTACTCAGACGAGTTGCGAATCCTGCGAGAAAGGAGCCTGAGAGCTCTTTGCCTTCCCTTCGAGAAACCCTACAGATCTCGGGTTTGACGATCAGCAGAGTTCGGTCCAAGGAGAGTATTTCTGGCATTCTAGCATCCCGTGAGGTCATCGATTACCATGGATGGCCAGTCGGAGCCCGTTGTGGAGCAAGTGCCTCCCGCCTTGGTCTGTCCGAGCCAGCCATCGGTCGTGGCAACCGTCTCTGCCTCCCCAGCGGGACCGTCGCCGTGGGATTTGTACCCTCAGCAGCTGCTGGAGATCGCCCGTGGCGTAATGGACGTCTACATTTCCTCTGGGCACTACCACTCGCCCTCCGCCCACACCGTGGTGCGCGGCATCGCAGCCAAGGACCTCTCGCCTCTGCTGGCCTGGCTCGTCCCGGCAGCCAACCACATGAAGGCCAAGTTCGCCAGCAACGACAGGCTGCTGGCGGGAGAAGTGGTCGAGACCCTCCTCGCCCTGCCCGATTTGGCCGTGTTCGTCACCGAGGCGCATCGCCGGTGGGCCGACGGGACGTTCACCGAAGATATGAGGGACATGCACGCCGCCGGGGCCGTCAGGGCGGCGTGTGCCGTGCTGGAACTGCACAAGGTATGCATGAAAAGACGCACACAAGGAAGCCTTGCTGAAGGATCAATCAATACTGGTGTGTGTGTGTGTCTGTGTTTGGTTCATCAATCCGTTCAGAGTCGGCCAGTGTCCAAGGGTGCTGGAGAGGGCGGCGCGTCGCCGACCAGTGGGGATGGTCTAGGGGGAGGGGCGGGCGAGCAGACGAGCTTCACCAGCCCCCCCTCAGACAGCATCGATTGCGGCGGCGGCGGCGGCGGCGGGTCCCCCCTGTCGGCCACCGAGTCGGCCGCCCACCCCCTGCAGACCTACGAGGCCTATCGCAAGCGCTACGCCCACCTGCCCGTGGCCGCCACCCTCTCCCACCACCCCAAATCATCGCAGACCGACCAGAGTGAATCTGACATGATGCTCAGAGACGACAGCAGCCCCTCCCCCACCAGCAGGCGCCTGCGCACCTCTGACGTGAATGCCTCAGACAAGGACCACGACGCTGACATGCATGACGACAGCGACCAGCTGGCAAAGGGCAGTAGGAGGCGCCCCAACACGCGGCGGGCGGCGGCCAAGCGCAAGGCGGGCGGCAAGGGGGCCAACAAGGGCAAGCACCGGTCGTCCCCAGGGTTCCGTCCGCGCGTGGCGAGCATCTCGATGGGGGGGGACATCCAGACGACCAAGCCGCGGCTGGGCGAGGCCAGGAGGGCGGCCCTCAAGACCATGATCAGCGAGGCCATCAGACACGACCCCTTGCTCAGGGAAAAGTAAGCAGGGAGAGAGGCAGGCAGGCAGGCAGGCAGGCAGGCAGACAGGGAGGGAGGGAGGGTGGGAGCTGCATTTATTCATCCACTCGTGTGTGTGTGTGTGTGATTGCGTGCAGGATTGTAGCCGTGAATAAGTTGAAGTTTGCCACAGTGGACCAGCTCTTCCTGATGGCCGAGGTGAGCGGCACACCCACCACACACACCATTGCTGCCTGGGTGCCTTCCTGCCTGTGTGTATTGTCTCTATGTGTGTGTGTGTGCAGATGTGTGGGTTGGGTGACCGAGCGCAGGAGATGCAGGACGAGTTCCTGAGCGAGAACAAGATGCCCAAGCGGCCCGGCATGAGCAAGCCATTCAAGCTGCCGCCCAACAAAGACGGAGACGACTCACCGTGACAGAGTAGATGGGTGCAAGGATCATCGGCAGTCGGTGTGCGGCGTGCTTCTATAGAGGGAGGGAGGGAGGGAGGGAGGGAGAGAGAGGTGGGTGTGGAGCGTTAATCGCTCTTTTCCCGTTGCCGTGACCTTGAGATAGCGATGCATACGCACAGTACACTTGTGTGGGGGACTGTTGATGCGTGGAGTGAGTTAATTGACTGACAGGTGTGCATTGCACTTGTGGCGACGGACGAAGCGGAGGGAGCCACACATCACATCCATTTACACACGACAGACACGTGGGCACACAGGGGGTGGGTCTATCGTACGAACACTCAAAAACAGCTGGCAATCACGCACCATCCGTTGATCTGATCCATATTATGTACACCGGGCTACCAAAGTCACTTAACCACCACGCCGCTCAGTCAGCCAGCAGCTACATACCCTCATTCCTGTCGATTACGCCAGCCCTCACCCACTCGCCGATGCTGCTGGTGTGATGCCTGACACACACAAAGGACAAAGAACAGGGAGAAGAGGGCAGACATGCACCCACAGCAGACTCCAAGGCTTCCCGGCCCCCTCATGTGTCGCGTTCGCACCAGCAGACCCAATTGAGCAGACCCAAAGCCAGTGTCTGGGAGAGGGCACCCGGACCACTGACGCCCCGCTGGGGCACCTCTGTCGTGAGGAGCTCGATGGATGTCAGCCCATCAGGGTGCTTGAACATCCTGATGAAGGCCGCAAAGTCATCGCCCTCCTCGTCGCCACACAGAATGACGAGTCGGCGGGGTAAGTTGCCGAATCTGCTGTGGTCGCTGGTGTAGTCGACGATGGTGCGGCAGCCCCACAGGGGCGGCTGCTGGTCGATCAGCTCATAAATGTGGAAAGACTGACCAGAGGGCGGATGCCAGAACTGAAGCGACGCACAACGCGACGACCATGTCAACCTGAAAGAGCAGGAAGGCAGCGCACACGACACATCGCTGTTGTGTTCCTTCTCTCATTTGAGTCGCTGAATACTCCTGGATAATCACGTCGCGGAAGTCTGCAGACACACAAACACACAACGGCAAACACCATCGATCGGCAAACACCATCGATCCATGCCAAGTTCCCCATTCACTGTTTTAACCTTCCTCTCTCACGTCGGCACGGGGGATCGGCGGCATCGAATTGCTCCGCATACTCGGCCGGCACCGTTTGCTCCTCCGTCTCCTGATCGCTGTGCACCCTCACCACCCACCAGCCCAGCTCGTCCCGCCAGTTGGCCGTGCGCGTCAGCTGCGTGTTCTGGCCCAGTTGGTGGGCGTAAAGGCTGTATTGGCAGATGGCCTCTGGGCGGTTGAGGAAGACGGTCTTGTCGGCCGTCGCCTGCTGCACGTCGGCTGCTGTGATGATGAGTGGAAGCGACGCCAGACAGCCACTGCTCCTGGCCAGGCGCAGGATTGGCTCGTTCGCCGCCCACTGCCCGCCATTGACCAGCACCCACCACAGGCGCACCAGAAATCCCCGTCGGGCTGCTGCCGCTGCTGCTGGGGGTAGCTGAGCACTCTGTCGACCTGGTTGTCGCGCAGCAGCTGGTCGATGTGCCGTCCGATGCTCTCGGCGATGGCGTCGCTGAGTGCGAGAATGCGAGTGGCACCGAAGAGCTCGGCACAGCCCTCTCTCCCCAGCAGCCGGCGGATGCGGTCAGACAGAGCCTGCACCTCATAAGGCCCGAGACCCTCCTGCTCAACAAAGGCGTCGAGGATAGAGAAGGGCGGCGGTGGGGCGGCAGTGGCCTGAGGAAAAAACAACCAAAGAGGAGAGTCAGTCAGAATGTGCTGTGTGGCCCTGTGCTCTCTCTTCACACCTGTGGGAGAGTATTATGGTCACATGAGCTCGACGATTCCATGGTTGTGATGATGCAGCAGTGGCGGAGATCTCTCACTTGCTCGGAGACGACACATTCGCCGACTGGAGATCTTCACTCGCAGGAATGGCACGCCGGCGGCTGTGCTCAAACATCAAGTCAGCTCCTCCATCCGTTCGATGGGACCCCACGCGAATGCGTGTCGACGAACTGTTACAGGAGGGAGGGGCCCCCGAGTAATGGGAGGCGATCGGGCAGACGGAGAGCATACGAAATTTCCGGGCAACAAATATACACAGTTTGTCGAGAGTGATTTTTGATCGCCTTGAGGTTGAGTGAGGTTGAGTACGTATCTCAGAAGGGCTGGAAAAGAGGAGACGCCAGAAGTTTCAGCAGAATTCACGTTTGGTGCACAGAAACTCGCTTTGTTCCAAGTTTATCGTTCTGTTTGCTGAGTGCATGCGGTGAGTGTTGGGGGATAGGAAGGCTGCAATGACAAAGGCTTCGACGAGAGGAGCGATGCAATCCCCCCCCCCCCCCTTTGAAGGGGGGGGGGGGGGGG